GATCGCAAAAAATGCAATTACTTTTGCACCAAGCGAATACATGTCTTGACATATCTTCATTACCAGTTGACCTTTGGATTTTCACTCTGAAATGATTCTATCACAAAGAGAATCTTTAAGTTTGTAATGAATAATTTAATTGAGCTGGGCATAGGGGCCCACATCTGTAATCCCAGCACTTTGGGAGGCTGAGGTGGAAGGATTGCTTGAGGCCAGGAGTTCAAGACCAGCCACAGCAACATAGTAAGGTCTCGTCTTTACAAAAAAAATTTTAAAATTAGCCAGCCATGACGGCATGCACCTGCAGGCCCAGCTACTCCGGAGGCTGAGGTGGAAGAATTGACTGAACCCAAGAGTTCAAGGTTACAGTGAGCTGTGATCACACCACTGCCCTCTAGTCTGGGTGATAGAGTAAGACTCTGTCTCTAAAATAATAATCATCATCATTTAATTAATCTTATATTAATTGAGAATTTGGGTGATAGTAGTCCATTGTAGCAAATACATGATTATTTAAGGAGTAAGGGCTAACTTTCTCATGAATTGAAATATTTCAGCACAACCTCAGGAAGAAACAGGTCTGTGTAAATGGCAGGGAAGACGATTGAGCCCAGGAGGGTACTTAGTGCCATCACACAGGGGAGGTATAGACCCTCTGACACAGAGTTTTTCCTGCCCTTTATTTCCAAAATCAGCCCTGGTCACACTGCCCCATGCTCCTTGAGCCCAGGAAGTCACTTGGGCTCCCAAAGACAGCCGGGGCACTTTAGAATGTCGTAGCCCACAGACCAGCCCATGGCTACCTGCATGCACCCAGAGAGCCCACCTAGAACCCATTCAGGAAAAGGCGTAGTAAGGGCACGGAGACAAGGCTTACGGTTGTCTAAGAATCAGCATGCAGCTTTGGAAGACATCAGAACTGTCTCATGCCTCTGGCGCAGTTTACTCATTCATTCCCATGGGAGGCTTCCAGCTAGTTAGTGTGTGTATCCCCAGCCCACACGGCCTCCCAGACGAGGGTCATTTGCTCACCACATTTACCACTTTTGCTGTATCCATATACCATCCTAGTCTACCCAGAGGATTTTTACCCTCACTGTGTGCTGGATTCAATTCCTACTGGATTGCAAGAGTCAATTGTTAAATTTTCAGAAAATGTGCAGGCTGTGTTTTGTTTTGTTTTGTTAATTTTTGAGACAAGGTCTCACTCTGTCACCCACACTGGAGTGCAATGGCGCAATCTCAGCTCACTGCAACCTCCACCTTCTGGGCTCAAGTTATCCTCCTACCACAGCCTCCTGAGTAGCTGGGACTACAGGTGCATGCCACCATGTCCAGCTAATGTTTTGTATTTTGGTAGAGACAGGGTTTCACTACGTCGCCCAGGCTGGTCTTGGGCTCCTAAGCTCAAGCGATCCACCCACTTCAGCCTCCCAAAGTGCTGGGATTACAAGCATGAGCCACAGCACCTGCTCCATAAGCTGGTTTTTAAACATAGTCATTATTTAAAAAAAAAAAAAAAAAAGAGCTTATAATTAAGTATTGCATTAAAATACGAAGGTACTAAATACCTAAAGCATCACTCCTGATTATTTTACTATGTTCTACTCTCACATTTGCTCTGATGTTATTTACATCTGCTGTGTCTCTATGGTGGGAATACAATATAATGACGTGCTACTGTGCCCAACTCAGCTCCCTGTCCAGTGACCTCACATCCGCAACCTGAAATTGACCATGGTGAAAGTATTTACACCACGGGAAGCAGCAAATGTGACAAATCAGGGTTTCTTTTGTTTCTTTTCCTTTTGTTTGTTCCAAGAAACTTTGTTACGCATTTCCCAACGCACTGCCAGATATTGGCATATCCCTTGTGGGGCTGGAGTGGGATGAATAGCAGTTAGTCTGGTGAATAGCAGGAGACCCTCCCAACAGATTGGATGGTCTGCACAGACACTTGGAGGTACCAAAGGACATGAGCCAGGGCCAGCCTGAGACTGTTAGGAGGACCTGGGTACTCTCCAGGTGTCAAAGAAAATGAGGACTGAGGGTAGGCACCACGGTCCGCACCTCTAATCTCAACAGTTTGGGAGGTCAACGTGGGAGGATCGCTGGAGGTCAGGAGTTCGAGACCAGCCTGGGCAACAAAGCAAGACCCCCATCTCTGCAAAAGTTAAAATAGGTCATAGTGGCTCACACCTGCAATCCCAGCACTTTAAGAGGCTGAGGTGGAAGGATCACTTGAGGCCAGGAGCTCAAGACAAGTCTGAGTAACACAGCAAGACCCCATCTCTAAAAACTAAAAATATCTCTTGAATGAATGAGTGAGTTAGTAATGTTACTAGATGGAACCAAAGAATCACCTTCTCAGGACATTTTTTGTTTTTGTTTTGGTTTGGTCTTTTTGAGACAGAGTCTCGCTCTGTCGCCCAGGCTGGAGTACAGTGGTGCAATCTCAGCTCACTGCAACTTCTGCCTCCCGGGTTCACACCATTCTCCTGCCTCAGTCCCCTGAGTAGCTGGGTCTACAGGCGCCCGCCACCATGCCCGGCTAATTTTTTTGTATTTTTAGTAGAGACAGGGTTTCACCGTGTTAGCCAGGATGGTCTCGATCTCCTGACCTCACGATGTGCCTGCCTCAACCTCCCAAAGTGCTGGGATTACAGGCGTGAGCCACCACGCCCGGCCAGGATGTTTTTAAGGACAGGTGAGAGTCTTCCAAATTTTATTTGAGGAGAGGAAGGTCTTCCTCATCTCGTTTGAGGTTGGTTCTGTTTGGATGAGGCAGGTGGAAGCTACGATCAAATTTCATCTTGGTCCCCAATCATACAGGACCCCTGTCTGCAACAAGTTCCCCAGAATTAAGACCCAGAACTGAGAGCTATCTAAAGGCCCATGGGGGGCATGAATGGCCAGGAATGAAAAAAAAATGTATTGGTGCCAGACTACAGAGAAAAAAATGCAGTCAAGATGAATACACTTGATGAGACTGAAATCCAAGCCCTTGCGTTGTCATTTATTATTTTTTATATGCATTATATTGGATGTGGAATGGGGTGCATTTCTATTTAACATTTCATGTAATGGGTGCTCCAAAACTAAAGGAGCCCAGGAGGCTCTTAAAATAGCCTGCTTCCTATTAGCCAGCAAACTTTCATTTCTTTTCTTTTTCTTTCTTTCTTTTTTTTTTTTTCTAAGACAGGATGTCACTCTGTCTCCCAGGCTGGAACGCAGTGGCACAATCATAGCTCACTTCAACCTTGAACTCCTGGGCACACCACAATGCCTGGCTTATTTTTTAATTTTTTGCAGAGACGGGGGCGTCTCATTATGTTGCCCAGGCTGGTCTCGAACTCTTGGCTTCAAGTAATCTTGTCACTTCAGCCTCCCAAGTAGCTGGGGCTACAGGTGCAAGCCACTGCCCAGCTTATTTATTTATTATTTTAACAAAGTCACGCTCTGTCGCCCAGGTTGGAGAGCAGAGGCATGATCATAGCTACTGCAGCCTCGACCTCCTGGGCTCAAGGGATCCTCCTGCCTCAGCCTCCTTGAATAGCTGGGACTGCAGGCACATACCACCATGCCTGGCTAATTTTTTTTATTTTTATTTTTTTTTTGTGCAGACAAGGGTCTCTATGTTACCCAGGCTGGTCTTGAACTCCTGGCCTCAAGCAATCCTCCTGCTTCGGCCCCCAAAGTGCTGGGATTACAGGCGTGAGCCACCATGCACAGCCAGTCTGTTGCTTTCTAGCCATGACAAGGACATCCTGACGAGGTAATATAGCCATCTCCTCACCCTCCTGTATGGCCATCTCATGGTGAAGGAAGCTGTCATCCCAGTAAGTGGCCACAAAAGCTTGGACGGAGCTCCTTCTCAAGTAAAAGACTATAACTAGTTTTCGATGAGAGGCTTTCAGCTTTCTTTTTTTTTTTTTCTTAGACAGTCTTGCTCTGTTGCCCAGGCTGGAATGCAGTGGTGCAATCTTGGCTCACTGCAACCTCCCCCTTCCAGGTTCAAGTGATCCTCCTGCCTCAGCCTCCCAAGTAGCTGGGACTATAGGCACCCACCACCACACTCTGTTAATTTTTGTATTTTTTTTTTTTTTTAGCAGAGATGGGGTTTCACCATGTTGGCCAGGCTGGTCTTGAACCCCTGACCTCAGTTGATCCGCCTGCCTTGGCCTCCCAAAGTGTTGGGATTACGGGCGTGAGCCACTGCACCCAGCCAGCTTTATTTTTTTAATGGACCAAATTCTGCTTCTGCTTCTTGCATTTCATGATTGTCAGTGAGTTCCACGGCACCTTCTCCATGACATCACGACTGATCCACGCAGGATCATGGCTAATAAACGGCTCTAAAACAACCTGTGAAGACATAACCTTTAAGTTTGCCAGGTAGCAATCTGCAATTCCACATACTGCACACACAGCTCTGAAGCCCACGCTCCCCGCAAGCCCGCCGTGGCTTTCTCGGAGAGCATCGGGCATATGGAACCATAACGGAGCATAAATTTACAGCAACAGAGATGGACGAGGGAAATTAAAGCTTCATCTGTAAGGACATACTGCGTGGCAAAAAAAAAAAAAAAAAAAAGAAGAAGAAGAAAACAACAGTTATTGTACTTTCTGCTTTGTAGTATAATGAGAAACTCAATCGTTTTTGATAGAGTGTGGGCTCCCTCTGCTGCTTGCAGGAGACACCAGGACTCCGGGCATTTGGGGTTCCTTGGAGATCAGTGCAGAGGAGGTGGCCTGAAGTGGGAAGAGAAAGATGGGGCTGAGCGTTGCAGACGGACCGACTTGTTCTGCAGGCTCTGACCCTGTGGGCTTCTCAGAGTAATTGTGCTGCTGCTGCACCAAGAAGCAAGAAATGGAAGTAACAGAAAAACACAAAGAAACTGTAAGATGCACTGGCTAGATCACCTGTGTGCACAGTGGAATGCATCACGAAAGCAATGCAGCCTGCCCAGAGCAGCTTCTCCCTCCCACCCTCCCTCCCTCCCTTTTTAAATTTTTTGCGGAGACAGGGTCTCATTATGTTGCCCAGGCTGGTCTGGAACTCCTGGCTTAAAGCAATCGTCCCACCTCAGCCTCCTGAGTAGCTGGGACTACAAGTGCAAGCCACTGCTCTTCCTTCCTTCCTTCCTTCTTTCCCTTCCTCCCTTCCTTCCTTCTCCTTTCCTCCCTTCCTTCCTTCTCCTTTCCTCCCTCCCATCCTTCCTTTTCCCTCCATCCCTGCCTCCCCCCTTCCTTCCCTTCCTACTTACCAACCTTCCTTCCTTCCTCCTTCCTTGTTTCCTCCCTTCTTCCCTCCCTCCCTGATTCACTTTCCAGTCACAGGGTAGGACTGCACTTCCCCACCCGCTTTGATTTTAGGCATAGTCACATGATTCACTTTGGCCAACACAATGTAAAGAGAAATGATGGCTATCATCTCTGGCTGGAAACTTACAGGGACAGGTCGGGCACGGTGGCTCATGCCTGTAATCCTAGCACTTTGGGAGGCCGAGGCAGGCGGATGACTTGAGGTCAGGAGTTCGAGACCAGCCTGGCCAACATGGTGAAACCCCATTTCTAGTAAAAATACAAAAATTACCGGGTGCAGTGGCACGTGCCTATAATCCCAGCTACTCAGGAGGCTGAGTCAGCAGAATCACTTGAACCCAGGAGGCAGAGGATGCAGTGAGCCGAGATCACACTACTGCACTCCAGCCTGGGTGACAGAGCGAGACTCCATCTCCAATTAAAAAAAAAAAAAAAATTAAAGGGACAGTGTGCAGGTCACTCGGTTGTCTCTTCCATGGTACTTGGTAGCATTGAGATGACAGCTGCTCTGTCAGCCTAGGTCTCAGAGTGAGAAAATGAGGTAGGAGGCAGAACAGACTCCAGAGTGGGGGCTTGGACACCAGACCAGACTGAAGACTAGCTAAGACAGGGACGTGCTGGAAGCTCCTTTCTATAAGACATGCCCACCAGTGCGTCATGTCAGTTTACCATTTCCATGGTAACACCTAAACATTACTGCCCGTTTCCATGGCAATGACCCAAAAACCTGGAAGTTACCACCCCTTTTCTAGAAATTTCTGCATAATCTGCCGCTTGATTTACATATAATTAAAAGTGGGTCTAAATGTGGCTGCAGCACTGCTTCTGAGCTGTTCCTCTGGGCACACTGCCTGTGGGGTCACGACCGCTTCAAGAAAGGTTGCTATCTAACACCACCAGCTTGTCCTGGAATTCTCTCTTGGGCAAAGCCAAGAAACCCTCTGGGGCTTAGCCCCAATTCTGGGGCTGGGGCTAAGGAAGGAGGGAGGGTGAAAGAAAGAAAGAAATGTGTAATTAGTTTGCTAGGGATGCCATATAAAACTACCACAAACTGAGTGGCTTAGGACAAAAGAAAATTGCTGGCCTTGCAGAAAGAAGTACTGCAGTACCTGATGATAACAATTTTCCTTTCTGAAAAATCAGGCTGGGCATGCTGGCTTGTGCCTGTAATCCAAGCAGGGATTCGGGAGGGATTTGGGAGGCCAAAGTGGGAGGAATGTTTGAGGCCGGCAGTTTGAGAGCAGCCTGGGCAACACAGCAAGACCCCATCTCTGCAAAATGTTTAAAGAGCTGGACATGATGGTGTGCACCTGTAGTTCCAACTCCTAGGGAGGCCAAGGCAGGAGGATCAGGAGTTCAGAGTCCAGTCTGGGCAACAGAATGAGACCCCGTCTCTTTCTTAAAAAAAATATTGTCTCACAGTTCTGGAGGCTAGAAGTGTGGTATCAAGGTGTCAGCAGGGCCACACTCCTTCTGAAACCTGCAGGCCATCTCTTCCTAGCTACTTGTGGTTTGCTGGTAACCTCTGGCACTCCTTGGCTTACAGATACATGATTCCAATCATGGTCATCTTCCCCTGTGTATGTCTGTCTCTATGTCCAAATTTTCCAATTTCCCTCCCTCTCCCTACCTCCCACTTTTTTTTTTTTTTTTTTTTTTTTTGGTCTCAGACAGAGTCTCCCTCTGTTGCCCAGGTTGGAGTGCAGTGGCATAATCTCAACTCACTGCAACCTCTGCCTCCTGAGTTCAAGCGAATCTCCTGCCTCAGCCTCCCGAGTAGCTGGGATTACAGGTGTGCGCCACCACACCTGTCTAATTTTTGTATTTTTAGTAGAGACGGGGTTTCACCATGTTGGCCAGGCTAGTCTCGAACTCCTGACCTCAGGTGATCCACCCGTCTTGGCTTCCCAAAGTGCTGGGATTACAGGCGTGAGCCACCGTGCTTGGACCAAATATCCCCTTTTTATAAGGACACCAGTGATACTGGATTAGGGCCCGCTCCCAATGACCTCATTCTAACTTGATTACTTTTGTAAAGACCCTATTTCCAAGGTCACATTCTAAGATACTGGGGGTTAGGACTGCAACGTATCTTTTTGCAGGGAAATAATTCCACCTGTAACGGCAAGTTCACATAGCTCAGCTTTTCAGCTGGCTTCTTGCCAGTCAGTAAACCCACCCATGTACTTGGAGCTCCTAATTAAATCTTTCTTGCTTTCTCCTTTAAAATGAACAGGTTAGGCCGGGTGTGGTGGCTCACACCTGTAATCCCAGAACTTTGGGAGGCCAAGGCAGGTGGATCACCTGAGGCCAGGAGTTCAAGACCAGCCTGGCCAACACAGTGAAACCCATCTCTACTAAAGATACAAAAATTAGCCGACTGTGGTGGCGCCCACCTGTTGTCCCAGCTACTCAGGAGGCTGAGGCAGGAGAATCGCTTGAGCCAGGAAGGCAGAGGTTGCAGTAAGCCAAGATTGTACCACTGCACTCCAGCTTGGGCAACAGAGCAAGAGTCCATTTCCCATTCCCTGCCCAAAAAAAATGAACAGGCTAATCAAGGACCACCAACTATCTAATGAGAGCCTATGCCATGTGGGAGAGACTGTAATAACCATGTTTTCTTTTTTAAAAAATTTTAGATACAGGGGTCCATGTGCAGGTTTGTTACATGAGTACATTGCATGATGCTGAGGTTTGGGCTTCTATTGATCCTGTTACCTATATAATGAACATAGTACCCAATAGAGAGTTTTTCCGCTCTTCCCTTCCTCCCTCCCTCCCACCTTCAGAGTCCCCAGTGTCTGTTGTTTCCTTCTTTATGTCCATGTGCACCCGATATTTAGCTCCCACTTCTAAGTGAGAACATGCAATTTTTGGTTTTCTGTTCTGTGTTAATTTGCCTAGGATAAAGGCCTCCAGCTGCATCCGTGTTGCTGCAAAGAACATAATTTCTTTCTTTTTTATGGCTGCATAGTATTCCATGGTATCTACCATGCATTTTCTAGTTTCTGTTTTTGATGCTCTGACATCTTGGGGCCTTGCTGACCCTGGAAGGATGGTCCCTCCCAGGGCTAGCCAAATCCTAAAGATAGTAAATGACTGTCCTGTGAGCACAGCTTTCAGATGCACACCAGTCAATCCAGGGGTTATTCCCCAACCACCTTGGTTTCAGGGCCCTCACAGGGCTGTTACACTCAGAACAACTATTTCCCTGCCCTAGTCACCCCAGGGCCCGGCACCAGACAATTAGGGGCAGAGCCCACAAAAATTAAACTAGCCAGTCCTGAGCCTGCGTATCTGCCTCACCTGTTCCTTCTCACAGAACTCACAAAAAAGGCTCTCATCCATTTTCACCCTGTTCCCTCTGCCTCATGACTTGCCCCTGGCCCCTGTGTGGTATGCCCTGCCTCCTGTTTCTGGCAGTCTGTGAATCTAAGCTTTTTCCTTCATGACAGTCATTTCCGTGCCTGTATGTCTTCCCATATCTAATTTAAACAAATCTCGGGTACCCTTACAACAGAGGTCAAGAAAAATAATTAGGAATAAAAACAACCTCAAAAGAAAGAGGACTAACTCAGGAAATGAAAGAGGATGTTTAAATGTTTTCCAATTATTATTATAACAATATTTAAGAAGTTATTACATTCAAAAATCAAGAACAAGATAGTATGCAAACAGCACGATAATGCTGCATAAACAGAGTAAGGAGAATAAGTAAATAAATAAATTTTTAAATAGTGCAATAAGGGAACAAGAAAGTGTTCTTATAAAACAAAAATATGATGGCTTAAATAAATTCAAGAGAAAGGTCAGATGATAAAACAGAAGAAGGCTTCCATAAAGTAGGACAAAAAGACAGAGATGGAAGACATGAAAGAAAAGAGATATGAAAGATTTATCCAGGGGGTCCAGTTTACAGGTGTCCCAGATAGAGAAAGATAGAAATCAAAGGGAAAAAAGTATCAAATGGACAACAAAACAAAATTGCCCAAAAGTTAAAGATAGAAGTTTCCAGATCAAAAGAATCTACCAAGCAAACAGGACAAGGGCTTTTAAAAGACCCGAACCTTTGCAAAATTTCAGAATCCTGGGAGGAAGAGGAAAGATCCTAAAACCTTTCTTTCTCTTCTCTTTCCCTCCCTCCTTCCTTCTTCCTTTCCCTTTCCTCTTCCCCTTCCCCTTCCCCTTTCCTTGTCTCTCTCTCTCTCTCTCTCTCTCTCTCGCTCTCTCTCTCTTTCTTTTTTTCTTTCTTTTGGTGCTTACTCTGTCACCCAGGAAAATTCCTAGCCTCAAGCAATTCCCACCTCAGCTTCCCAAGTGGCTGGGACTACAGGTATGCACCACCATGCCCTAATTTTTAAGTTGTTGTAGACACAGGGTTCTCACTAGGCTCATCATGTTGCCCAGGCTGGTCTCTAACTCTCGGCCTCAAGCGATCCTCCCACCTCAGCCTCCCAAAGTCCTGGGATTACAGTTGTGAGTCACCACACTTGACCAAAAGCTTTCAGAAA